CTTATGTAACTTATGTTTTCTTCGAAAGAGGACCAAGAATCAAAGAGAATAAAAAAGAAATTGATAAGAATTGTCTCGATAAAAAAATATATCGTAATTGTGTGTTAGTGTAGAATTAGGAGAGAAATAGAGAAAATTAATATCTTAAAGATATATTTTATGTAGTTAATTTTTATGTAAAAAAATAATATTTAAATAATTATATTTTTAATCTCAAGTGTGTGGTTTAGCAGTAGAGGTTGATCTACGCTTAAGCAAGGTCAGAAGTTTGAATCATGTCTTGTGTATACAACCGCGTTAAATCTTGGGGTCAGCTATCCTACCTTTTGAGGTCGCTCCAAGAGGAGATTAGTCACCGCTTCGAATTCTGCCTTGTGTATGCAACTGCGTTAAATCTTGGGGCCAGCTATCCCACCCTTTGATGCTTCTCCAAGAGGAGATTAATCACCTCTATCAACCCTAGATACTCTAGGGACGAACAAAAAAAAATATTTTTTTTTATATTTTTATTAACTAATTATTTAGACAATAGTTTAAAAATAATTTTATTTGTTTTTTTTTTAAATTTCATACAAATCTATTCTTAAAATTAAATCTATATGGATCCTATCACAATATTTTCATAAATTCACTTAAATCATCTTTTTCAAATACACTTTTTTTTTTCTTCAATTTTGTTGATAGTTCATCCCTTTCTTTTTCATTATCTACTAAATCGTCACTCCCAAACACTTGATAATCAAAGTCTAAAAAATACACATAAGCTATACCATTTGTTGCGTTGTTTCACATCAATGGTGATATTATAGAAATGATTTTAACTAAATGTCATTTTTTTACACCATTTTAAATGTCATTTTAAACTTTAAAGTTATATGTGATTTTCATTTAAATACATGCATTAGAAACTTTCAGTCAAAAAATTGATTTTTACATTTTACACAAATATTATTTAGAAACTTGTAATCAAAATTAATTTTGAGTGTATAATCAACTTAATTTTTATAAATTATTTTTATATAGACATCTTTATATTATAATTTATTATATATATATATATATATAATATAATATAATATAATATAATTCACTTCTATATGCTAAATACTAGTCTTAAAACAAACAACAAAGTTACTAGTAATTAAAGTTTTTGGATAATATATTGGCTTTTGAAATATAGAAGTGAATTATAT